GGCACCCGCGTGCGGGCCCACGAGGCACTTGTCTCCGGCGATGCACACGCAAGAAGGACCGTCCCCATAGCAACGGGGCGGGCGGCGGCAGGGGCCGCGTTTCCATCGGGATCATAGCCCAGCCCCGCCCACGCCCGGCTCCCCTGCGCCAGGCGAAGGACACGGGGAGACGGACCCCGCCGGACGGCAGGGACGCCGGTGCGTCCTCCCCAGAGGGCACGGCTTCCTCTGCCCATTTCCAGACCTGGAGCAAAGCACGGCCTCCGCGCCGGACGCCTCGGCCCGCCCCGCTCGGCCCGCGCCACGCACCACCCGGCGCCCCACGCCCTCACCCCCGGCCTGCCCGGGGGCACGCTGCTCAGGGACGAGTTTCACCACCGTCCGGCAGCAAGGCCGGGGCTGTCCACGCACCACGGCCAGGCACTCCGGAAGCTTCTAGGAGCTAACACACTTGCTTGTCTGAAGACCCAGGTCTTTGTCATCGTGTTTAGGACTCAGAAAGCAGGTGCCTCCCCCACGGTCCCCAAGTCCGTTTCCATGGTGGAACCTGGCTCTCCAGGACAGTAAACCGTTAGATCCCAGGTGGGCCGGGCCAGCAGAGGCTGGCAGGATCCGCCCCGGGCCTCACCCACCAGCGCTGCCGGGGCCTGGGGCCCGGAGTCCAGTCTCCCACACTGGAGTCTGAAGCTGCTGCAGTGCCGCCGTGTGCCCCGGGGTGGCCCGGCCCTCCTGGGCCCCACGAGGACACAGATTCCAGCCGGGGCGCGTCCCTGTGAGGGGAACGGTGACGGCCGTCTAACCTCCCACACGCCTGGTGCTCGCAGTGGCCGTCCTCACTGATGAGTAAAGGGGTGCTGTCCCCTGACGTCACACAGAGCCCCCGGCCTGCCGGGCTGCAGGAGTCCCGGGCTGAGCTGCCACTCCGGTGAGAAGGAGCGAGCTCGGCATCAAGCTGTCAGATGAACTGCAGCTCCCAGCTGACTGGACTTTCAGAGAAACTGTCTTAGAGATGGAGTTACACTTCATTGTCACGGGCGGGCCTAGAGGAACTGGATTGCAAATTCCGGCCCCAACATGGAGCAACAGTCCCTACTTACATGTTTTTACCTTCTCGGTCTCCCAAATACGGGGTGTTTCCGGCCCCCCTTTGTGAGTTCTTAAAGAGCCCTCTGTGCTGGGGCCTTGAGACCTCAGCCAGAGGCCTGGCCTGGCGCCAGCGCTGGTCACTTCGTCCGGGGAAGGTTTAATGTCCTCTCTGAAGTGGGAGTCATCTTATTTTCCTTATTATTTAAGGCCTAGGGGTGTCGAACTCAATCAGAGAAGGGGCCAAAATCTAAAATCCAGCCTAAATCGCGGGCCGAATGGTTTACTGAACAGTCATAAACTGTCATTGTGATGGAAACGCAGCGGAGTGCAGTGATGACAGCGCGGTGCGGGCCACATTGCAAGGCCTGGTGGGACGGATTTGGCCCGCGGGCCTTGTGTTTGACACATGTGATTTAAGCAAACAAGCATTCACAGAAGCCACATAGCAGGGTTAACATTCCAAACAGCAGTGTTTATCCAAGATGGATGATTCAAAACAACCACTGCTTTTCTGGTAGACGTATGCCCCAGGGATTGCATAGGAGGTGCTCAGACCCAAAAACGTAGCCATCGTGCATCTGAAATTCAAACTCCGCTGAGCACAGCCTATTTGCCTTTGCTGGACGCAGGGAGCCTCGGCCGGAAGGAAGGGACACACACACACACACACACACACACACACACACACGGGCGGGGGGGGGGGGGTGTCCCAGGCCCCGCAGGAGAGCGAACGCGCCTACGTCTGCCAGATGCCGCGGCAAGCCGCTTACCAGCGCCCGCGGCCCCTGGCACCCAGAGGAGGGGACTCGGCCTCTGGCCACGGCGGGTGGGTACCTAAGCCGGGGTCTGCCTGGCTCCTCAGCACCCGTGTCCTCCTGGCACCACCTCCTGCTGGGGCACAGGGAGGCCGAGGGAAGGGCAGGAGAACCCGCCTGCATGTGAGAGCCCATCAGCTCTGTGCCAACACAGCCCTCCTACTTCATGCCGAGGATCTGTAATTTGGGTGTGTCATAATTTTTTTTTTTTTAAGAGAGAAAGGAAGGGAGAGGGAGAGGGAGAGGGAGAGGGAGAGGGAGAGAAACATCGCTTGGCTGCCTCCTGCATGCCCCCTACCGGGGACTGAACTCACAGCCTGGGCAGGGGCCTGGCCGGGAATGGAAGCCCCACCTCTCTCGCACAGGACAACGCCCAGCCGACTCACCCTGGCCGGCCGGCCGGCCAGGAGCGTGTGGTCTCTTTCTGAGGCCTGTTTATCGGAACACCACAGCGAGCCCCTCCGAGGGCCACTCCCCTGCACATTTCCATTACGCGGCTGCATTTTGGACGCCTCTGAATTATTCATAAGAATCCAGTGTTCCTTCCACGCTCAGCGCTGAGTTCCACAGCATCCATCCCGGAAACCACCCCGGGGAGT